GGGCGCAGTTTGGGCAAAATGTATTTAAACTACCTTGGCCGCAGAACTGGCCCTGCCTGTGCTGGGCCGTGTCCCTGTGGAGACGTGGGTCTCAGACTTGTGCCCGTTTCCCCGCCCTGGGTGTATGTCCCGCTCACACTGCTCAGCGTATGTCCTGCTTCCTCCCTGTTCTGGAGCACTGGAGTGCTTACTCTTGAGCACTTCCCTTTATCTACCTCTCCTTCCCTGCTTTACTTTGCCAAGAAACGTTTTCTACTTAAGATTCATCTCCCCCTGAAATTGTTTTCTACTAGGGACCGGCAAAGCCCGGGTAAGGTTGAAGACTGACTCTCCTTCCCTGCAAAGAGTATTTTCTCATTCCCTCCTTCTCCCCCTGTCCACCTTGAATGTTGCTGCTGATAGCATCCCCAGGTGGTCCAGGGGCTCACCTAGACTACTCAGCCCTGATTTTTCCATGCACTTCCTTGAAAGACCGAGGTGGGCAGAGAGGGAAGCAGTGGGTTTTCTTGAGGCTGCTACCTCTCTCTACCCCGCTCATGTCACATAAGCCACCCAGTAACCCCACTTCTCACTGGTAGGGGGGCTTCCACCAACAAGACTTCCTAAGACATTCTTTGATGTCAGCAGGGAGCTGATGTCAGAGCCAAAGGCAGCAAAGGAAAACAATGGGCCACTCTTTTCCTTGTATATAAAAATGAAAGAAGCGCAACTAAATACAATAAAACCAAATCCAGCAGCGTATTAAAATGTTTATGAACTATCACCAAGTGGGATTTATGCCAGGGATGCCATAATGATTAAATATATGAAAGTCGGTCTATGAAATTCAACATATTAAGACATTGAAGGGGGGGGCGGGAATCACACAATCAACCCAGTTGTTTGAGTTGTTGGAACAAAAAAAAAATTTTTTGACTAAGGTCAACCTTTACACTATGTTTTTTTTTGTTTTTTTTTTTTGCTTTTTGGGTCACACCCGACAATACACAGGGGCTACTCCTGGCTCTGTGCTCAGGAGTTACTTCTGGCGTTGCTCAGGGGACCATATGGGATGCTGGGAATTGATCCCGGGCGCATGCAAGGCAAACACCCTACCCCCTGTGCTATGGCTCCAGCCCAACCTTTACACTATTGAAGAAAAGCTACGAGGGCTGGGAAATAGTTGAAGTCGTGGAGAGTGTGCTTCTGCTTCCTTTTCCTGCAGGAAACCAAGCTTCTAATCCTCACTCCCTGCCTGGAGCATCACCCCCTCCCCCGAGCCAAGTCAAGTATGTCCCCCAGTATCACCGGTACAGTCATTGTTAACTTGAGCATTTTGTGTATTTTTCTGAGTTCCAGTTGGTTCATAGTGGTCTTCATTACTGATCATGAATCTACTTATTCCACTTATTTTATTTACTTTATCCCCAATCCCACCAAAAGACCACGTAGGATAGAAGGGAATTTCCTCAACGAGGGCATCATGAAAGACTATCAGCCAACACCCTGCTCAAGGGTAAGAGACTGAGAGCTTCCCTCCTAAGATCATGCCAGTCCTATGTTTGATCATTTACCACGTCAGGTCAGTATCATACAGGGAATGCTAATAAGAACAATCATGCAGGAAAGATTAAAGTCATGGTGACCAAAACAATGACACTGACTTAAGGATAGACATAAATACCAATTGCATAAAGTTTGAGAACCCAACAATAAATTCAAACATCTGTGGCCAATTGATTTTCAGCAAGGTGTCAAAATCATTTAATAAGGTATAGTCTCTGTAACAAACAGTGCTGAGGTAACTGGATACTTAACTGCAAAATGACTTGAGGTTAGGCCTGAGAAATAGTACAATTGACACTTGCCTTGCATGTGGCTAACCTGGGTTCTAGCCCCGGTTTCCCATGTTCTCCCCTAAGCCCTCCAGGAATGATCCCTGAGTACAGAGCCAGAGGTAAGTCCTGAGCACCACCGGGTGTGGCACCCCACCCCCCCCCCCAAAAAAATAAAATAACAACAACAAAATGATTGAGTCCTACCTCACACCACCTACAAAAGTATTTTTAAAATGCCTCAAAGAGCTAAATCTATAAGCTGAAATTGCTTTTTGAGTATTCTAGAGAAAACATAGAGATCAATCTGCATAATCTTTGTTTTGGCAGTGGTTTGAGAGTAGTTTCTTTTTGTTGTTGTTGTTGTTTTTGTTTTTGGGTCACACCCGGCGATACACAGGGGCTACTCCTGGCTCATGCACTCAGGAATTACTCCTGGCGGTGCTCAGGGGACCATATGGGATGCTGGGAATCGAACCCAGGTCGGCTGCGTGCAAAGCAAACGCTCTACCCGCTGTGCTATCGCTCCAGCCTCTGGGCAGTAGTTTCTTAACTCTCACAGCCAAAGCACAAGAACCCAAAGAAAATACAAATGAATAAGATTTTATCAAAATTCTGAAAGTTTTGTATATCAAAAGACAGTATCTAGAAACTAAAAAGATTCTTCATGAAATGAGATAAGGTGGTAATTCTATGAGGGTCTAGTATCCAGATTAAATAAAGAGATCCTACAACTCAACAACAAAAAGACAAACCAATTTATTTTTTGGGTTTGTTTTTTGGCCATACCCAGCTGTGCTCAGGGCTTACTCCTGCCTCTTCACTCAAAAACTACTCCTGGTGGTAACTAGGGGACCATATGGGATGCTGGAGGTTGAACCTGTGTGGGCCACATGCAAGCAAATGCCCTCCCCAATGTCCTATCTCTCCAGCCCAAAATAATGCAAATTGAAAATGGTGCTTTGCGGGGGATTGAACAGTGTTGGCTACGTGCTAGGCAAGCGCTTACTCTCTCTGGGCCACAGAATTTCCTTTTAAAGTCAAGAAACACGGGGTGGGGGGAGCAGTCTCCCCACAACCTGCCAGACTCCCAGAAACCCCACGGCCACTCCAACTGTCACTGCTGCCGCCGTACTCACTCACCCACCAGCCTGCTCTCCCACTTCATGACGAAATCTCCAAGGAGATGCAAGCAAGCAACTAAAACTCAGTCTCCCTGGCTGAAAACTCTGGGGCGCCCTGAAGAGGGGCCAGATCGAGTCCTCGCCCTGCCAAAGCCCCGGCAGTCACACCCACATCCCAGCACTACAGCCAAGCCAAACGCCCAGCGCCACTACTTCCCTGATACTCTGCAGAGACACCAAACTGCAAAAAAATGTAGGTGCCCTGGTGCCCAGGCTGAGAACACTGGGGTATTCTTGGAGTGGGGGTGGGCAGACTTCTCTCCCCCCCCCCCACTTCTGGAAGGTGAGGAGTCACATGCACCTCTCCCAGCCAACGCCATGTCAACCCATGGGCCCAGACTAGAGATCGATCCTGAAGTCTCTGGACTTCATATGCTTCCAACTTCTTTAATAACAAAATACCTGTAGGAGCACAGCAAACTAGACAGAAGTCAATTAAACTCAACAAAGTAAAACAACATCCCAGAAGGCTCAACTAGCAACCAGCAGCTTAGTAAGCCTTTAGACAAGGGCTTAACGAACCCATGTTGAGATAAAACAATTTTTCACACAAAAAGAATTGAGTTCTAAAGTCCTAAACGTAATGATTTTCCTTTTGGAGCATTGTTACATAATCAATTTCAACTCTAGGGCTGTATCAACAGTTGTGGCTTTTGCCTGTATTTGATAAAATGAATAAATAAATAAAATTTTAAAGAATAAAGCCCGGAGAATGTTCTGGGACTGGACTGTGGTTGTGGTCATAGGATATCATGACTGGACTAGGTGCCGCTGAATCACACCCTTCAGGATGGGTCAGATAATCCATTCTGTAATTTATTATTTCTGTTGCTTGTTTCTAGGTCACACCTGGTGGAGTTCGGGGCTTACTCCTGGCTCTGTGCTTGGGAATCACTCAGCGGGGCTTGGGGACCCCGTGCATTGCTTAAATATGAACTGGGGTTGGCTGTGAGCAAGGCAAGTGCCTGACCCCTCTGCTCCCTCTTGGTCTCCTCTATTGTAACGTAGAGCACGCAGGGTCTCAGCTGAAGCCTGGCTCAGGGCAGAGTCAGTGGCTGCTCTTACCACTGTGCTGAGATCTCAGGAACTTGACCCACGATATCAGGGAGCTTTTCATGGCTTTACTGGACATTTGAGTGTTTTAATTTTGTTATTTTGTGGTGGGGTTTTTTTTTTGGGGGGGAGGTGTTGTTGGGACACATCAGGCAGTGCTCAGGGGCTATTCCTGGCTGTGTTCAGGAGGGACCGGCTGCTTGGGGGACCGTGTGTAGTGTTGGGGATGGAACCTGGGTTGCCCTCCTGAGAGAATACTGGCCATGCTCTCTGGCCCTGGAATGTGCCAGTGCTGGGCTTGATTCCTCTGTGTCTGCTTCGAGTTTAGTTGTAAAGGCTTTTACATTCCCGCTCATCCAACACGCATCACCAGCAGCCCTGCAGAAGGGTTCCGGGTGTTCGCCAGGAATTCTGCTCGTGCGACTGAGCAGAGGAGTTCGCAGTGGGATCCCTGCCCTGCGGGACACGGTCAGGCGTGTATGTCCCCTGGCCAGGCGTGACTCCTGGCACCACTCAACCTCCCAAGCTCCACTTGGTTTGGGCGATGCTGTCATCTTGGTCCAGGGTCCTCTCTGGCATGGGAGCTGAGCGCTGAGGGAGCGGGCATGAGAGAGTCATCTGTTCCCAGCAAACTCTGCCTAGTTTATTTTTTCCATGATGTTTTGGAGTCCCGGCAAAACAGATAGGACAACATGTCCCGTGGCATGCACCCCGGCTTAACGAGCTGGGCTAATGGGAGGACAAACTCCTCTAATGAGGGGTCTCCGGCCAGCGCCTCCACACACCAACCAGGAAGGGAGGCACGTGAGCCTCTGCAGGGACAACACACCCCACAAGCTCGGGGTATAAAAGCCACAGCCGGAGCACCTGCACACACACACTCACTCACTCACTCACTCACTCACTCACCCGCCAGCCTCTCTCCTCTCACCACCGCCACCCGCCCACCATGGCCGCCTCCGCCCTGTCCATCTGCTCCAGCGACCTCAGCTATGACAGCCGGGTCTGCCTGCCAGGGTCCTGCGACTCCTTCACGGAATCCTCCTGGCAGGAGGACGACTGTCCCGAGAACTGCTGTGCGCCCCCCTGCTGCGCCCCCAGCTGCTGCTGCGCCCCCAGCTGCTGCGCCCCGGCCCCCAGCATGACCCTCGTCTGCAGCCCCATGAGCTGCGGGTCCTGCTCCCCCTCCTGCTGTTCCTGCTCCCCCTGCCAGCCGGCCTGCTGCACCCCCATGTGCTGTAAGCCCGTGTGCTGCACCCCCATGTGCTGCACCCCTGTCTGCTGTAAGCCCATGTGCTGCACCCCCATGTGCTGCACCCCCGTCTGCTGTAAGCCCATGTGCTGCACCCCCGTCTGCTGTACCCCCATGTGCTGCACCCCTGTATGCTGTGGAGGCTCCCCCTGCTCCGACCCCTGCCAGTCCTCTTGCTCCCCCTGCCAGCCGCCCTGCTGTGTGTCCCTCTCTTGCACTCCCGTGTGCTGTGGGGGCTCCCCGTGCCAGGCCCCCTCGTGCTCGCCCTGCTGTAAACCCTCCTCCAGCATCTCTCTCATCTGCCGGCCTGCCTGCCCACCCCCCTGCTCGCCCCCCTGCTGTGCCTCTTCATCCGGCTGCCCACCCAGCTGCTGCCGCGGGTCCAGCGTGTCCCTCCTGTGTCGGCCGACCTGTAAGCCTGCCTGCTGTGCCCCTGCCTCAGCCCAGAAGACCTGCTGAGCACTGGCCCTCTGAGCTGCGTCCCGGCCACCGCAACCCCCTGCTGAGCCAGAACCTCCCCTACCGGGTAGGCAACCCTCAGTAGAACTGGGGGGACTTGAACATGTCCCTCTCTGAGAAGAAATGACCCGATGATGCTTCGAGAGGGCGGGCAGAGGCCAAGGGTCCCTGCAGGCTAGCGCTGGCCTTTGATGCAACCATGCCCATTACCGTAACAATAAAACGTTTGTGCTGAGCCATTTGAACTGTGTGTTTCTCTTCTAAGTCTGATCGCAGTTCTCTGCCTCACAGAGGCCAAACAATCAGGGCACCTTCCCACGTCTGGGTTGGAAGTGGCTGGAAGTGGCTGGGGCCAGATCAGAAAGGGTGAAAGGCTCTTAGAACACACCAACATGTGGAACAGAGCAGTCAGGGATCTCCGTGGTGCCTGCAGCATTGCTCACAGCCAGAGTCGCCCCTGCGGACCACCAGGGGCGGCCCACCTCCTTGTAAAAAAAAAAAAAAAAAAAAAAACCTCTTAATCTTTGCTGCAAAGCAATATCCCTAGTGAAAGTCAGAGTTGCTTCACATTGTTTACCTTGGCTTGGGGCCACACCCAGCAGTGCTCAGGGCTTACACTGGGCTCTGTGCTCGAGGGTCATTGCTGGTGGTGCTCAGGGAACCTTACGCTGTGCCGAAGATCAAACCAGGGCTGGCCGAGTGCGAGGCCTGAGTGCTCCTTAGTGCTGTGCTCTCTCTCCAGTCCCAGAGCTTCACCTCGTCCCAACGGCCATTCCCACTGCCCCAACTCTTTTGTCCCCTAACCACGCGTCCTAAACTCTCCCCAGGCTATTGACACTTCTGAAAATCCTTCCCCAGGATGAAACACTCTTTCAGCTCATCTTAACAGGACCCATCAGTACTCTGGACAACCGCCGTGACAGTTAAGCTCAAGGGCCACCCTCACGGGAAGCTGCCCAGAATCAACGTAGCCATCATCCGGGCTCTGTGAGAAAATTCATAACTGACACTAAATATTGCTTTCCAAGGCTACCAGCAAATAATCTCAACCATCATTTCTTCCTCTTTTGGTTATCCTCTTCAATCTTGGCATAATCTATGACTTCTCCAGGCCAATTCTCTCTCGCTCCCTCCCTCTCTCTCCCTCTCTCTTTTCTCTCTTTCCTTTCTCTTTCTCTATCTCTCTCTCTTTCTCTCTCTCTCTATCTCTCAAGAATGAGTCTTACAAAACTTAAGAGATGAGCTCTAAGCTGCAGCCACTGAAACTTTGCAATGTACCCGTCAGGTTGATTGATGGGAGTGGGTTGAGGTACGGAGGGAATCTGGGAGCTCTGGTGGGGGGAACTGGGGGTGGGGTTGGTGTCGAAACATTAATGCCTAAAACTCAACTGCCAAAAACTTTGTTAATCACAGGTCTTTAATAAAAAAAATAAAACAAATGAATCTTAAAAAGCTCATAAATAATGAGTTTTTTTTAAAAAGTTATAGTTATCTTTAAGGGGAGGAGGAAGGCACCTCATGAATTATATAGTAAGAAGGATATACTGTTAAATCCCATAAGCCATACTGAAACTTTGACATTATCAGTGGAAGCCATAAGTTTGGTTAAGAAGCCACACTCAGAAGCCACCATTTCTCCTCCAGGTCAGAAACCCTGTAGAGTACATGGCCACACATTACTTCATTTCTTCATATCTCACAGAGAGCATGCCTTGACATTCTAGCTGCTCACACAACGCCTATCACCTATCCACACACACAAAAAATACATCTAGACTACAGAACTCACAGTGGGAAGGCAACCCAGAACCCCATCACCCTTAGTAAGTGAAGAGTGTGGCCTGAAGATTCAGCTAGTAATAGCTAGAGAGCAAGAACCTCTTTGACAAGGACTTAGAGAGGAAATGTTAAGGATGTTTGAAGAGCTCAAAGAAAGAATGGAACAGACGGCCAAAAAAAAAAACCACAAGAGGATATGAGGGCATAGGGGAGAAAACTACAACAGAAGTGACAGAACTAAGAAGTTTGGTAGAAGAAGTGAAAAATTCACTGGAAGACCTTGACAGCAGAGTAACTAACTGAGGAAATAATCAGTGAGCTCCAATAGGAGATGCAAAAAAAAAAAAAAAGCAGAAGATAGAGGAAACCTTCCAAAGCTTCCAAATAAATGACAGCAGACAAGAGATCTCTGAGATGAATTAGAGAGGAGCAAAGTAAGAATCATCAGGTCCCAGAGGCCCAGAGGTAATTCTGTGAAGAAACCAGTCAAGAAGTCATCCCTGAGAAACTTCCAGAGTTGAAAAGCACATGTACCAGGTTCAAGGAACCAGAAGGTACCAGCTAAGAGTCTTTTCTTTCCAAATTACAAGACTCAAAGGCACATCCCTGTCAGAATGACAGAAGCTAAAGATAGAGAGAATACTGAAAGCAGCCCTTTTTCCCCCCCATCTCCCCCCCACCGGAGATCCCAGCAAGCTACCAATGGTATCCAGCCCACATGGCAGAGCCTGGCAAGCCACCCGTGACATACCAAATATGCCAACAACAGTAGCTAAAATGGGTCTCATTTCCCTAACCCTGAAGGAGTCTACAACTGAATCGGGAAGAACGAGAGGGCTTGTACTAAGCAGACAGTGCACAAGTCAGTGGGTGGGAAAGCACCCTGCAAGCAGCTGGCCACCAAGGCAGCCCACAAGAGCATACCAGCCATGGGTGGCATGAAGAAGTCACACTGATACCGGCCTGACACCATGGCGCTACCCAAGATCTGCCAGCTGCCGTGTCAGTTACTGGCATGCGAGATTGCGTAGGACTTCAAGACCGACCTGCGCTCCCAGAGCTCGGCCATCATGGCGCTCTAGGAGGCATGTGAGGCCTACCTGGTGGGGCTCTTTGAGGACACCAACCTCTGTGCATTTTCGGTCAAGTGTGTCACCATTATGCCCAAGGACATCCAGCTGGCGTGCTGCATGCGCAGAGAGAGAGAGCATAAAGTTTATGATGCTAAATCTCAGGGCTGGGACAAATGGAGATGCTACTGGCACCCGTTCAAGTAATCGATGATTAACAGGATGACATTGACAGTGACAGTGACTGAAAGCAGAAAAATCAATGAAGGAAGTCACAAAGGACCAGCCTTGAGGTTTACGCAGATTTATCAAACAATGTCATGAGGCCTACAGACAATGGTGGGATATAGAGAAAAAGCAAAAATCACCTCAATAAAATGAGTGCCTCGGGGGGCGTGTTGACTTTCCCTCCACAACCCAAGCAGAATTCCAGCAGCTGAAAATCTCCAGAACCCAACCATCACCATGCTCAAAGCCACTCTCCACACGCTCAGATGAGCCTCACCCAAGACGGTATACACATCACCCAAAAGCGGACCGTCAGGAAAACCCAGGTATGTGGGAACCCATGACTGAGATCCCCAAGCCCACTTGGATCAGGACTGGGCCTCCTCACCCCAGATCCCCAGTTTTCCAGTAGCTTAGCAGTCACACCCACAAACTGCCCCTGGCACCATGTAGTCTCATCAATGGCCAGAGACTATAAACTAAAGCTCCTGGAAGAGAATGACACAGAATTTCCTAGACATTATATTCAATCCATAACAAGCAATACAAAACAAATCATCTAGTATTGCCTTTCGGCAGGTTTGAGAGGTGGTGGGACTGGTGTCAAAATATCAAATATAGCCAAAGTAGAGAGATAGTATAGGGAAGTTGTCTGCCACACAGGCAGGGGAAGGAGGGTTGGGAGAGGGAATACTGGGGATTTTGGTGTTGGAAAATGTGCACTGGTGAAGGGATGGGTGTTTGATGATTGTATGACTGAAACACAAACATGAAAGCTTTGTAACTGTATCACAGTGAATCAATAAAAAAGGGGGAAAAAGAATAATAATAAAATAAAATTAACATTCTGAATAAATAAAAAAGTAATGTGGAGTTCATGCCCAATTCAATCAGCTTAATTAAGACTAAATAAATAGCAGTATGCCACATTATGAAAAAAAATGAAATGAGTGCCTCACCAAGAATACCCTACCCGGGCAGACACTTATTTATATCGAAGGAACAATACACAACTTCACAGATAAACAACAGCTCAGGGACTTCACAAACTCAAAACCAACTTTACAAAGAGAGCCAAAGGTCTACTTTAAGATAAGAAACAAATCTCAAACAAGCCAAACTTCTACAGAAAGGTGGCACAAAACTCCTTGATGATGATCTCACTCAACAGTGACAGCCTACATGCACCAATTATGAGACACAGAGTGACAGTATGGATTAGAAAATTGAATCTAAACTTCTGCTGCCCACAAGGAACACATTTGAACAGTAATGGCAAACACAGACTCAAGGTCAAAGGTCAGAAGATGATATTTCAAGCAAACACCCCCCACAAAAAGGCCAGGTTGGCTCAGCTTGTATCTGACAATATCAACCTTAGGCTCAAAACAGTTCAAAGAGACAGAGGTGGTCATTTTTTAATGATTGAGGAATATGTACGTTAGGAAGAACTCATACTCCTAAACATATATTCAATTAATGGGGAGCCATTAAAAAGCTTAAAACAACTAATAAGTAGACTTGAAGGAGGTTATTGGCAGCAACACAGTAATAGCTGAAGACTTCAACACTACTCTGTTACCTCTTGATAGATCAAGTAGACTAAATTTCAGCAAGGAAATACTGGCTTTGAAGGGAGAAATGGAAGAGAGGGGGCTAGTAGATATAGGCAGGATCTTCTATCTTCACAGGCTGAGCACACATTCTTTTCTAACTTAGGCATGCGGGACATTCTGCATGACAGACCACATGTTGGACCATAAAACATACCTCCCCAAAGCCAAAGAATAGAAATATAAACTATTTTCACTGACCATGAAGCACTGAAAATAATAGAAGTTAACCGCAAACAGAAATGGAGAAATAACTAGACATCCAAAAATTAAACAGCTCACTACTGAACCACCAGTAGGTCAGAGAGTA